GAGAGGGAGAGAAGAGGGAGAAAGAGGGAGAGAGAAGGGGGAGAGGAGAGAGGGGAGAGAGAGGGGAGAGGGGAGAGAGAGAAGGGAGGGAGAGAGGGAAAAGAGGAGGAGGAGAGGGAGAGGAGAGGGAAAAAGAGGGAGAGGGAAGAGAGAAGGGGAAAGGAGAGATGGGAGAGGGAAGAGGAAAGAGGGGAGAGGGGAGAAGAAAAAGAGTGGGAGGAGGGAGAGGAGAGGGGAGAGAGGAAAGAGAGGACTATTCTCTGTCTCTTTTTAAGAGGATACCATAGATCAGGGCCCCACTCTGATGACCTCATTTAATCTTACTTATCTTCAAAAGTCTGTCTTCAAACACAGTCACATAGGGGCTTGGGTCTTCAACAGAACTTTGTTTGGGGGGAACAAAGTTCCTGGCAAAGGTAGACAATAAATAGTAATTATTATTGTGACAGATTTGCAATCAGAAGATGAGAATTTAAAGCCCTGAGCCCACAGCTTGCAGCTTCTGAGGTTCTGGGCGAGCTGTGTCCTGTTCCCGCAACCCTCTGCAGACCAGGGTGGGTGATCTTAGGCCCTGCACAGGGCTGCATGACAAGGCGTGCGGAGCGCCTCTCGAAGCATGCATTAGACCAAGCTTATGTTGTGTTCAGGACTGGCCAGACACTCAGGGAACAGGGAACCTGACTGGGGCGACTCAGGTGCGGCCATGGAGGCCCCTTTGGGTCCTGCAGGGCCCCAGGCCTAGCTCCTCCTGCCTCGCAGCAGGCGGGATGTGCTTTTCATGCCATGGTTCAGTATCTTTCAGAATAAACAGTGAGGACTTCTTGCTGCAAGTGCAGGTGAGGACCCGGCCAGACTGGCTGCTGGTCTGCTACGAGGGCTGGAACCCTGGCCTGGGGCTGCAGATCTGCCGGAGCCTCGGGCACCTCAGGTACCTGGGAAGCAGAGGCTGGCTGGCAGGTACGGGAACTGGGCTATCTGGTGGAAGTGCTCAGCTGGTACCAGGCGGTCATTCTGGCACCTTCTGGCCTCTGGGTGTGATGGTGTCCCAGCCTGGCCCTCTCCTTTGCACATGGCTGCTTTGTGACAAACATGAATCAGGAGAAGTCCCTGTCACAGTCTTGCTCCGTCGCTTGTGTGCTTTGTAGTTGTGTCTCACCAGTGCTGCTGTAGCTGCCATGCAAGGCGACCTTCTGTTCTGCCTCCTTCCTCCACCCAGACTTGCTCATCATAGCGGAGTGAACCTGTCTGACCTCAGCCTCAGCAGCTCCCAGGCATTTTCTCAGCTCCTGCCCAGCCTGGGAGGCCTCCTGGGAGAGCAGTGGCAGCCCAGGTAGGGCTTCTGAGGAGGTTAGGAGAGTGGGCCCTTACTTCCTGTGAGCAGTCCAGAGCCATCTTCTTTCGAGGGAAATTTATGGTGAGGACACTGGGAGAAGAAAGAGCACAGAGAGGAGCGACTTTCAGTTGCAAGTGACAGACCTGGCTCACGTGGGCCCTGCCAGGCACAGCTGCCATACGTTATTGCCCCCTAAAGGAAGACAGGGTTGGTTGGTTTTGTCTCACGACTTGGAATGGTGCTCTAAGCTCCTCTTATAGATGGGAAAACTAAGGCTAAGTGTAGTTCAGTAATCCTATCCAAGATTACATAACCAACAGCAGCTAAGCCAAATCTTTAAACCAAGGTCCTGTTTCCAAACCAAGTGACCTCAGAATCTGCCACTTTTTTTGGTGGTAGCCGCAGGGGTTAGAGGCGGGGTGTGTTAGACTGGGGACTGAATCCAGGGTCTTCACCAGGAGCTATATCCTCAGCCCCTTGTTATTTTTTATTTAGAGACAGGGACTTCCTAAGTCACTGAATTGCTGAGTCTGAGCTTGAACTTGTGATGTCTCAGGAAAGAAACAGTTGAACTGTTGTGGCTGAGAACAAGTGAGATCCTTGAGAACATCAAGGGAAGAGGGCTCGGCAAGCAGCAGGCCCTCCCCCTTCCCCAACCCCCAGGGCAGGCGGAGTGCGTGGCGCCCAAGTGAAGAGACCTTGTTCTTTGCCTGATTTCCTCAGTTGGCCCAGAGGTCTCCTGGAACTGGGCAGCGCTGGGCTCCGGCTCTGGAGTCTTCTTGTCCCTGGCCCACTTTTCACTCTGAGTTGTGCTCTCAGACCCTCCTATCCAGCTCCAAACTGAGGCGCATCCTCAGAAACCTACTGCAGGTGGGAGGCCACTGAGTTCCTGTCTTAGGGTTCAGAGTGAGTGGTGGCGGTAGGGCTGAGACTGCCTCCTGCAAGACAGGACGGCTGTGGCTTTCAGAAACTAGAAACCAAGAGGATCCAGACACTGAGCTCCTGGAGGGGATAGTAGGGCCCAGAAAGAGAGGAGTCGTTTTGTCCAAAGGAAATGGAGACTTACAAGAAGAGAGAGAAAGGAGCAATTCATATTTTGACAAACATGAATTTGCGAAGCCCAGAACAAGGTGGGGAAGGAAGTGGGGCAAAGAGCTGTGTGCATGCAGCAGTAGCCGCCCAGGCCCCCGGGGAGCACACGTTCACTTAAGCAGGGCCGGTCAGCGGAGGCTGCTGGGCTTTCTCATCTGTAACTATTGTGTTTCTGAATGTGGGCCTTGCCCTAGTGGATCTTCTAGAATCATGGAGGCTTTCTTTTGCCCCTGGAAGGTTGGTCAGCATGTGTGCTGTTGCCTGGGTCTGGTTATAAGGAGGGAGGCAGCCATTTGGGTGGGGTTAGAAGAAACTGGAGGAATTCTTAAGGCTGTGGCTACATATAGCCTTAGAACTGTCCCTCAAACCCACCAATACCCGCCTGCTACGCCCTTCCTGTGTGTGGCCTCGGGGTGGCCCTCCCTGGCTTCTTGCTGGCACCTCTGATTTGCAGGGACAGCTGTACCTCTGGCAGGATTGTCTCCCTCCAGTGCTCGGGTGAGTCAAGTGTTGCCCCTGAAGGTGGTGGTGGGAGGACAGGAGCCCTGTGGAGGCTCAGCTGGGTCTGGGTTGGGAGTCCTTGCCTACATGCCTTGTGCCTGTGGGGCTCCTTCCCACAGAGACAGGCCACGCCAGCAGAGCCCACTTGGCCCTGTCTTGTCCCCGTCAGCCACTGTGCTGGCCGTTTCCTTCATGACTGCCATGCTGCCTTGGCATTTCATATTCACTGCTTCTCTTTTTCTGGAGAGCCCCAGAAGAAGATAAACGTTATTACTGGCTGCGGTGTGACCTGTTAGCAGCTTCAAGGGCAGGAGGCGTATGGGAAGCAATCTGGGGGTTTCTTGCACCCCTCTCCACCCACCCACCCACCCACCTGTTTGTGGGTTATCCTACACACTCCTGCACACACCAACATGCCCCACCCTACTGTGGGGTGGGCATTAGGGCTCCGTGAATCCCATAGTCCTGGTCTCTGTTCTCAGTAAGCCCATGACCTGGACTAATCAACACTGCTGTCTTCTATCTTCCTATTCAAGACCAGAGAATAATAAACAAGGGCCGCCCACGCCAGCTCCCCGCATTTGCCACTCTGTCTCGCTCTTCTCTGTTGGCAGCGTGTGGGGCAAGGCCTCTGGCTTCTCGGATAGTTGGTGGGCAGGCTGTGGCTCCCGGACGCTGGCCGTGGCAGGCCAGTGTGACCCTCGGCTCCCGGCACACGTGTGGGGGCTCCGTGCTGGCACCCCGCTGGGTGGTGACTGCTGCGCATTGCATGCACAGGCAGGTCTTGGGGGCTGCTGGGGAGCTCAGGGTTTCTGCTGCCTTTGTGTTTGGCTGTTGGTGTGTCCTGGGTCAACTGTCCACCTGTCTGTCCCCAGGCATCCGTTCCTAGTGGGCAAGGGTGTGGTGCCCCACCTGCTGGTGCTGCAGTCAATCTGCTCTGCTTGAACAGCAGTAATAATGCAAAGCTTGAGTCTTTGTCTCTTTCAGTTTTTACATTTTAAAAATGCTTTCGCATTCACACGCTCTGTGCTTTCTCACTGTTTCTCCTCACTGTAATTACACCACTTCCTTGTGATTCCTTGCTGGATGTCTTCTTTCCCTAGATTGTAAGTGCCGCAGGAGCAGTGGCTCCCGGTCTCACTTGCCACCGAGTCCCTTTGTAGCCTTTTCCACTGCTGTGTCCCCAGGGCCTAGAGCAGTTCTTGGAAAATGATAGATGCGTAATAAATGTTAGCTGGAGGAGTGAACCAAGGAGTGAGCTCTTTGATAATACTCATCTGACATGGAGGAAACTGAGGCTGGGGAAGAGTGCCTCCCTTGGGTTTACACAGACAAAATGGAAAGAAAGGACTGGGGGAAGCTTTTGAGCTCAGGTTGGAGTTTCCTATCACACGAGACCCTTTACTGCGTGCTGTGGAGCTGGGAAGGGATTATGCTGGAAAGGAAAATGATAGCTGTAGGTAGCACAGTGTCTCCTTTCTCCATTGGTCAGCCCTTTCTTGCTCCTGGCCGTCCAGTATCTTACCAGTTGCTGGGGTGATTCTAAGAGGCACAATCCTTGGGTCCCAAGAGCTCCCCGGCTGCCCATAGGGACCCCCACTATTGACCTCTCCAGCCAGCTTCCTCTACCTGCCACCTCCCTATGTCACCCTCTCCTGCTCCTTCCTTCCCTGGGCTCAGCCTGGTTCCTCTGTACAGTTTCAGGCTGTCCCACCTTTCCAGCTGGCGGGTTCATGCTGGGCTGGTCAGCCACAGCGCTGTTGGGCCTCACCAGGGAGCTGTGTTGGAGAAAATCATCCCCCACCCCTTCTACAACACCCAGAGCCATGACTACGACATTGCCCTCCTGAGGCTCCGGACACCACTAAACTTCTCAGGTGAGACCCTGGCTCTGGAGCGAGCGAGCTGGGGGCTGTGGTGATGGAGGAGTGGCGACTAGGCAGGAGGAGAGACAAGCAGATGTCGGCGATTTCCTTTTGATGCTATAAACTGCAGGACATCCTGTTCATTTGGGGGACACGGCCACTCTGCATTCTCCTGAACCCTAAGTTACATGAACTCTTGTGTGGGCTCTTTTGGGAACAGCTTCGGGTCCTTTTCACAGTGGGGCAATGGGCAGGAAGCAGGGATTCTCAGCTGCTCAGCTACCGAAGGCTTTATCACCCAGTTCCCAGGCTGGTCCCGGGTGCTAGCCATTTGGTGACCCAGTACAGTTAAAGAGATTTAGTTTTTCCAAACGTTCTTTCTCTCGACCCTCATAACAACCCTGATGAGGCAGGCACGCCAACACGGACGCTCCCTCCAAGGCCCCAAGGCAAACAGTTTCTGAGCCTGTTGTTCCAGTAGAGGCCAGGGCTCCTGCCATAGCACCTGGGCCAGTAGGGCGAGTGCAAGCTGCTGGCGCTCCAGCGAGCACCCTCCCACCGTGCATTGCTCACAGGCACTCCCCTGCGGACACACACACATGCACATGTACTCGCGTGGTCATTTGCACACTCATGGGTTCATACCCCATGCTGTCACAAGCACATACACTCTTAGGCGTAGATGCGCTCACACTATACACATGTGCCGGTACACACACTCAGGCACACAACACTCCTTGTCTTCACCCAGGGGCTGGTCTTTGCTATACTTGTTACACAAATTTTTTTTTGTATTTTAGGGAAGGGTCTGCAGGGTGTTCAGGCTCTCACTACTAGATTGGACTTACAGTGATTCTCGTGTTTACAGCCTCCCAAGGGCTGGGATTACAGGCGTGCTCCACCATACCCAGTCTCAAGTGCCATCTCAGTGTGCCCTGGGGGTGGGGCTGGCACAGCAGGTATAGGGATTGAGCCCCCAGACCCTGTGCCTGCTTGCAGGTGCTTTAATCTGCTGAGCTATTTGGCCCTCCCGGAGGATTTTTTTTTGGGGGGGGGCTAGTTCAGGGTGTCTTAAGGGAGGGTGTAGTGTGGTTTATGGAGCTGGGAATCAAACCACGGTCCCCTGAGCCTGACTGCATTTGCCCAAGTGACACGCTTTAGACAACTGAGCTAACCAGCAAGCCCCTGTCACGCAAATCTTAATCACGTATGTGAATCATTGCTCACAGCACTATTTCCACATTGACTTAAATAAGTGTATATAAAAGAGGAAACTACCCAACTGAAGAACGTGCCGTGCTACAGTACATAGATAGTGGTCACAGGACTGCATGGTGTGAAAACAGGGCAGTGGTTAAGTCCTAGGGAGCTGGCGTCCTCAGCACAAGCCGCTGAGCCTGGACCTGCTTTCTCCGGTTCACGTGGGAGATGACAGCATCAAGCCAGACGCAGGCCAGCGCTAAAGGGCACTCTTCTCCCTGATGGAGTTAGAGAGTCTGAAAGAGAATTGAAAAGGAAGTGGTGGTCCCCAGGTGAATCTGTTTCGTGTAATGGCCTGTCTAGGGACAACCTGAAATCATGTTAGGCTCCCACCAAAGGCTGTGCTGCATATTTTTGGAACTACCGTCCCAAGAAGAATCAGACACTCTTGGGAAAAGCCAGACTGGTCCCCATAACACTGAGTTCCCGGGGCCAACAGGAAGTTTCTTTCTTCTCAGCCCCCAGGGCCTAGCTGGGCAGCAGGTGTACTCACTGCCCGGCTCTGGAGGGCACTGTGCACACGTGGGGTACATTGTCCTCTCTGACCAGCCCTCCCAAGGGGAGATGGCGCCTGGCCTGTGCAGCAGCCTCGCAAGCCCGGCTGCTGGAGGCCAGGCACTGGGACCGTTAAGAAAGGAGACAGGAGAATTGTTACCTGGGCTCTGCAGGAGGGAAGTCGAGCCTAAGCCAGACCTAGAACACAGGTCTCTCTGCAGACACGGTCGGTGCTGTGTGCCTGCCGGCAGAGGGGCAGCGTTTTCCAAGCGGCTCCCGGTGCTGGGTGTCTGGCTGGGGCCACACGGACCCCAGCTACAGTGAGTCAGCTCCCAGGGCCGTCATTGCCAGTGGGGTGGGGGAGGCACCCTTCTCCAAGGGGGTACCCCCACTTTCCCTGGCCAGGTGGCTGTGCTAGCCCTGTTCCCCTTTCATGGGGCTTTTGGGAGAGAACACCAATGAATATTTTCCCTAAGCCAGGCCCTCCCGCCTCCCCTCCCCAGCCCATGTGCCCACCCCAAGCGCTGGGTGAGCCCCGCCCCCTTCTCACTTCTCCAGCCCTGTTCGTTCCTTTCCTCACTCAGGTCCAGCTCCTCTCTGGGTTCCCTCTTCAGGTCTGTGTCTTTGGAATCTCAACTCCTCCTACGTCTGATCTGCCTCCCTGGCCTCACTTGGCGCCCTACATCCTTTCCTGCTGTCTCCTACAGGTCACAGCTCAGACATGCTGCAGGACACGGTGGTGCCCTTGCTCAGCACGCGGCTCTGCAACAGCTCCTGCGTGTACAGTGGGGCCCTCACCTCCCGCATGCTGTGTGCAGGCTACCTGGACGGGAGGGCTGATGCATGCCAGGTGTGGCCTGTGGTGGAGGCAGGGACGGGGCCCACTGCAGCTTGGCCCCCAGGGTCTGTGTTTGTGGCATCAGACAGCCCTTGTAGGGGGTGAGCCCCTGCCAAGGGCTTGTGGGGGGCAAGCAGTTAACCCAGTAGGAAGTGGGAGGGGCCCCAAGAAGTCCTTTAGCCATGCTGGTCAGGTATTGCTCCACCAGGAGGATCTGATTGGCTGTTTTTCTGTCTCCATGCCTGGATACCTCAGGGGGACAGTGGGGGCCCCTTGGTGTGCCCAGATCAGGGCACGTGGCACCTGGTTGGGGTGGTCAGCTGGGGTCGCGGCTGTGCGGAGCCCAATCACCCAGGTGTCTACGCCAAGGTAGCTGAGTTCCTGGACTGGATCCACGACACTGTACAGGTGAGTGTGGGGCAAGCGTGGGGTCAAGGTGTTTCTAAAGGACATGCCTCTTGGGTACTGGGAACCTGGTCCTTCAGCCTGCTGAGGGCTGGAAAGGGGACTAGGAAACGTTTTCCTGAACAGGGGGCCAAAGTGAAGCTCATGGCACTGAACTTTTTCAGTTTAAGCACTGGGTAAGGATGACCTGAGTTTGTAGCTTAGAGCTGCCATTTCCCAGGTAAATTTTGGCAAATGTCTACCCTTGATGAACCTCAGTTTCCTTGTCATAACCATCTCAGCTACTTTATGTCTGCCCTGATGATTTCAGTGCTGCGTCTAAGTAAGTTCTTCAGGGACATCAGGCCTCACCTGTTCAGTGGAGGCCTGGGTGTTTCAAGGGGTAGCAAAGTGGAGTGTCTGTGTTAAGTATCTTACAAAGACAGCCATGGCAACAAAAAGCATCTTTCTCCAAGGCTGGGTACAGGAGCAGGTGGTAGATAATCAATACGCTGTAGAGATCACGAGGTGCTGTGTCCATGTCCTCATTTGTGCGTTGTGAAAACCTCCACAGCAGATGTTTTTAGTCTCACCTGTTAGAAGTGAAAGGTTAAGTGATTAATTCGAGTCAAAGTCTCTTGGCTGGCATGGGTGGTGCTGGGTTGTGAGTTGGCCCTCTTTCTCTTCTGATCCAGGACTCCCTGCTCTTAAGTCCTGGTTCCCTCCAGTCTCACTGCACGTCAATGCAGTCTCATGTCTCCCGGGCTCTCTGGCAGGTCCACTCGCTGAAGAAAAAGCAGCAGCTGCGCAGATGAAGAAGGTGTGGACTGCCTACTACTGCTGGGTGACTGTCACCGCCCACAGACCAGCTGCTGCTGGGCCTCTGCTCCCGGGCTCTGACTTGTAGTTCCTCTCTATCTCCAGAGAGAGGCTAAGGCTGGAGTGGTGGGGAGCCAGAGGAGGGGACAGAAGAGGCTGAGGAGCAGCTGGGAGCCCGCCTCTCTGCCCTCGCCCTAGTGCATCTTCAGGGAGGATGCTCTGTGTACCCCTAGGCGTGCTTCTCCCCGTGTCCTCAGGTGCCTTACTTAAGTGCCTACCTACAGGATGTCCAGGTCAGGGCTGCGGGTAGATGAAGTTGGTGCTGGCCAACCCAGACCATGCCCATGGAAGCCAGAATCCAACCCACTCCCTGGTTGGTCTCCCCTACTTCCTGTTCTTTTTTTTTTTTTTT